ATGTTTTGATATGATTACTATTTTTTATCTAAAAAAATCATGGCAAAAATTTTTTTAAATAAACAAAGAGGCCGTAAAGTTCCATGTTTTCCAATTAATCCATGTGTCGTGTAATTTTTTGGTTGAAAAAATCAATTGCAATCTAATTTTAAATGAATAAATATATTTTTTGCCGTTTAAATATTTTTTTTTTCCTTTTTAATCAATAAAAAATTAAATTAAATATATATATATAATATATATAATTTTGAAAATTGAATCAAAAAAACTAAATGAAAAATTGAAATTCTATTTATTTATAATTTCGTTTTCTTATATTTATATTGAAATAAATAATTTTAAATTGAAGAAACTAACCGGATCACCAAAACTGCAATACAACAAACTCCTGATTATTTATATATAAATAAAATCTATGGAACAATGGTGCAAAGAAAAATAAATCATAATGGAAACACCAAATTACATAGTTTATGCTTTTTCTCTATAAAAATCGTTTATTCGTTTATTTATTTGGGTTAAATTATTTTTTCTTGTTTTTATTTATTTTTATTTTTTTTTTTTTTTTATTTTATTTTCATTCTATCTTATATATTTATTTTTATATTTTAATGTTGTTTTATAACATATAAAAAAATTTATTTATCATAAAAAATTTATATATTTTTGTTTTGGTTTGGGAAATATTTTTAAAGCTATTTATTAAAATTAAATCAAATAGTGCTGTAAAATTATTCTAACCATTACTTTTTCTAAAATATTTATTTATTTGTTTATTACAACAAATTAAAAATTTGGATAAAAAAATTCTTCGCAAAAAAACTGCCAAAAATAGACTAAATTTTTTCTGAAAAACAGACCCGTACGTTCATGTCTAAAGAAACTGCATTTTATCTATTTTTTTGTATATTTATTATCTTTTTTCATTTATTTATATATGTTTTGTATATTTTGGTATTAATATATTTTTTGTATAATCTATATCTATATATATTATTTAAAAAGATTATTTTCAAAACTACAGTCAATTAAAATTTTAAAATTAAATAAATAACTTTATGATAAAACCAAAACAAAACTATTAAATAAGCGATTAAACAAATTTTTAAACTAATTTAATAAAAAATACTGAATAAAATAAAAAAAAAATTTTGAGATAAAAATAAAAATAAAAAATAAAAATAAATAAAAAAAACAAATAAAAAATATTCACCCAAATAAATAAACAAATCAACATTCCATATTCAAAAATAAATTTTCAAAATAGACTACCCAAATTATGCATGTACTGATTTATTTATCTTCATATATATATCATAAATTTTCAACAACACTCGTGGCCTGATTTGATTCATTCTAGAATTTTTTCCTTAATAGATTAAGTGTTGATTCAATGTTCACTTTATATTTTTATTTATTTATAAGAAATAAATATATGTATATATTTATTTTATATTCTCAAATATAATTGTATATTTTTTAATATTTTAAATTTTAATAAATAAAATGATTTTTTTTTGATTTGGATACATTGTTTTCAAATAAATTAATTTCGTTTTTTGGCTTGATAAATATCCGTTAATGAATGAAACGCGCCGGATGAAATTAAATATATATTTATATAGAATATATTCCTTATTTATATATATATATATATATATATATATATATATATATATATATATATATATATATATATATTCATACACGTTTCATTAAATAATATAGACAAGTGTTGTCTATTTATTTTATGTAAATTTTTTTTTTTAACGTCTGATAAGTTTAATAACATTATAGTTGAACGAAGAAAGAAATTCACAATATTGATCCATATTTTTTATTTAAGCTTTCGGCTTACATAAGTCATTATCAAAGATGTCAATTACAACATAATATACGTACAAGACAGTGATGATAGTCTGTCATTGTTTACATAGATGATTTCTAAGCAATGATAAACACGTGCATATAAGACGCTAGAAGCGAAAATCGCACCGCATCTCATGACGTCACACATGACCACGGGAGAGTGAATTGGAGAAGTATGAAGTATGGGAAGCCGTTGGTATAAATCAATGGCTTCTGTTACCAATTATAGACATTAAAGAATATTTGTAGAGATGCCATATTATTTAATTATAGACATTTAATAATTTAATTATAGACATTTAAGAATATATGTAGGGATGTCTATATTATTTAATGAAACGTGTATGAATGAAAAATATGCTTTAAATAATTTGTATTATATATATATATATATATATATATATATATATATATATATAAATTAAATAAATAAAAACGTTGTCTAGCGGCTAGTGATTCTCTTACCGAGAAACTGTCTGGTAAATAAAATGACGTAACTTAAACAGAACCATTAACCAGTGCGACATCACGGCAGAAATGTAAAAAAAGATACAACTGAAGATAAAAAAAAAAAAAACTTACGCAAAAAAAATCTTAAAAATGACGCAAAACAAACTTTAGAAAAGTGGATGAATGAAAGAAAGTCATTCAAAAAAGTTAATTGTATATTTTTTTTAAAACAAAATATCCTCGGGAAAAACTTCTAATTTCTAATAGAATGAGGCTGGAGGAAAATTAACGATAAGACTGACTAGTAGTCATATATTTTTTCAAAACAATTATTTTTCTAAATTTCTCTATATATATATATATATATATATATATATATATATATATATATATATATATATATGTGTGTGTGTGTGTCTTTTGTATCAAAAAAATGCATATCGTGTATTTGTGTTTGTGTGTGTATATATATATTTATATATCTTCATATGTGTGTGTTTGTGTGTGTATCTATGTAGATATATATTATATATATATATATATATATATACATTCACTAGTATATTATATATATATATACATATATATATATTTATTATAAATTATTTAAGTTTATAGTTTTTATTTATTTCTGCATCTATTTCATTTCTATCTCTCTCTTCTTTATATATATATATATATATATATGTATATGTGTGTGTGTGTGTGTGTGTGTGTGTGTGTGTTTATATATATTAAACACTTCATTTATATCTTTATCTATCTATCTATCTATATATATATATATATATATATATATATATATATATATATATATATATATAAAATCATGAAATCGTTTCATTTAAAATCTACTAGGGCAGCTGACCAATCCTGTTGCAGACGCTCGCTCAGGCAAAACTAAAAAGCCCAGAATTAGAGCTGGAATAAAAATTTGACAAGACTGATTCGAATCATGTCTTTTCATAAAAATTCAGATCTCTCCCCCAAAGCTTTTCTCTCTAGCTATATAGCATATATATATATATATATATATATATATATATATAAATATATATATATATATATAAATGTTTATATATGCGCCTTCTATGTATGAAATGTATATATTCATATTATCCATTTACTCAACATATATATATATATATATTATATATTTATATATATATATATATTAATATAAATGAATATTCGAGGATATTTTGAAATTAATTGCCGCAAGCTGGGATCACCACCTTTTAGGCCGAACAATATCAGGAAGTTTCTTCCTAACAAAATCAACCTTGGTGAAATCAGAACCCGGGTCCCATATTTCAGAATATATATATATATATATATATATATATATATATATATATGTGTGTTATAAATATTGTGTGTGTGTGTGTATAAAAGAAAAAAAGCCTCTAACACAACCAAAGAAATCTCTTCCCTTTCAATATGATGAAATAATATAAAAAATCAGTCGTCTTATCACCAGTTAATGCTATTTCAGTTTAATTTTCAAACCAAAATTTGATAATTACTCAGTGAGATCACCCATTAAGTCAACAAATGGCAAATTTTCTTAAACTTGAATGAAGCTGAAATCCTTTCCAAAATATTTTATCTAAACAATCAGAATACCTAATATACTGATGACAAGAAAATGTTTCCCATGGAACTGTGAGGATCTATTAAAATATATAATTCCCGGACATAATGCATGGTTTAATCAATCAAACATTTTAATTCCATTTTTCTTAGATTGCATTTTTATTTGTAAAGAGATTTTATGTGAGGCACTCAGATACCTTTTTGTCTATTAAAGGATAGCCTTTACATAAACTTGGTCTTGAAATATGTTTTGTCGTCTCCATCTTAATTAAACTGTTCGTTGGCCTCTGTTTTAGTTGTGCATTCTTTATTTCCGCTTTCTAACAATTACGGTAATTTTTTAATTAGCACTTACATAGTACAAGTTTTAAAAAAGTCAGAAAGGTTTATAGTTGAGCGTAATATTTATCTGGAATTATCAAAGATTAAAAAATTCTCTTTTTTTCTTTCTTTGAAACCGTAATTTGAATACAGCACCAGCATAGTTTCCCAAATTCCAAAATTTGAAAAATGCTTTAAAATCATATAATAATACGCGCAAATAAATCATTTATCTCCAGTTAGACAAAATTAGCTCTCGTGCAAAAAAAATCATTCTTTAATTAATCAGTTCCTTTAATGTCCAGCAAGTCGTAATTGCAGCCTTTTATTAGTTCGAAAAAAATGTGAAATTTCATAATACCATTGTCCATTAAGTGATCGTTTTCCTTCAATTTGGTCTTGGAATATGTGTTGTCGTCTTCGTCTTTGTCATTCTCTTGATAAACTTTTTCTTCAAAAATCCCCTTAAAAAATTCACTGTTATGTTGATTTAACATTTAAAAATTCATAACATGATAAGATGTTGAGAAAAAAATTATCTGACCATTTAAAATTTATGGATTATAAATACCATTGTTTGTCTCAAAATTATAGAGGGAACGAATTAATGAAACGGTTTGTTGGCCCATGTTTTAGTGACTTCTTTATATTTGTTTCTAACAAAATAGTATTTTTAATACCACATATATTAGAATGAAAAGTTAGTGTTAAGTCATTATTATTGAGGGTTTAAAAATTAAAAATCTCATATTGCACAAAATTTTATGACTTTTTCTCTTTCTTTCTCTGAAAAATCGAAGAGTCAAAAGAATAACTTTCCTAAATTTGAAATATGCTTTAAAATATAAATTATCATTGTGCATTTATTTATATATTTTTCAACTGTCCTATCTTAAGTGAGATTTAAGGTAAATCAAAAGTCTATTGAATAAAAATGAGATCAAAGTAATTTAAAAGTGTTTTTAATTTGTCTATAAAATAAAAATGTGTGTGGAATTTGTGTGTGTGTGTGTGTGTGTGTGTGTGTGTGTGTGTGTGTGTGTGTGTGTGTGTAACGAATGCACGGCCGCAATTTTCGACGGATTTGCACCAAAATTTACATGCACATGCTCCAAGTTAGCAGAAAAGGCCAAGGCCGACTTTGCATTTCCCAACTCCCATCGATAGTGGAAATAATCGATTTTTTTCATACTTCTACGGCAGTTTTCATGTAGTTTGCGGCCATTTTCTACTGGCCAGAGTGAGAGCCTATAGCTGGCTGCCACGAATAGGCAGGAAGATTCTATTGGCCAGCGTGAGAGCCAACAGCTGACTGACACGAATGTTAACTAGCATGCTAGCATGCAAAAAAAAAAGCGATAGCTGCATTCGTCACAAGTGGGAAAAATTTAAATCTGCATGGCACTTTACTCCAATTGGCTCATTCGCTTGCTTAAACTCAACGTTGATTCTGATTCCGCAGAACTGGGTTGGGTGTGAAAAAGTATTTGTTGTTAACATTCTTTTTTTCATTCGGTTTTTCCAGTTACGAGTCCTTTTTTAAAGCTGATCGTTTTGTGTTCATTTTGTTTAGTTCTTTTTTCGTAACAGATTTAATGTTTAGTATAGAGCTTAGAAAAAATTCGCAGTGTGAGATAGGCAAGAAGTAAGGCATGTAGCAACATCAGCACGGCAAAGGGCACTCCTTTAAAGGCAAGGAAGGGCAAAAATATTTTAAGTCAAGTGATAGCGATTGCTGTATGAGTCGTACGATTTTTGAATCAAGCACGGGCAACGCCGGGCCATGCTGCTAGTAATCTATATAAATTTATCTGCATTTATTACTTCCCGAGCAAAATGAACCGTTTAATTAATCAGTTCCTTTACTCCAACCTTTTTTAGATTGCAGTCTTATTTGTTCAAGCCTTTCATGTGAGGCACTCAGATACCCTTTTATCTATTAAGTGATCATCTTGCTTCTATTTGGTCTTGAAAGAGGCTTGTCATTTTATTGATAATCTTTTTATTCTAAGAGATATTTTTAACATGAAAAGATATTGAGCAAAAAGCGATTCATATAATGCTGCAAGTAATCAATGAAGAATCATAGATACAGTTAAAAACTGTAAAATTATAAAGGGAACAGATTAATTAAACTGTCCATTGGCGTCTATTTTAGATGAATTCTTTATCTCCACTTCATTGAATCTCAATGAATTCTTTCAGGACTTTTGCATCTCACTATTAAAACTTTTCTAATAATTGCCGTCATTTTTGATGGCATGAGTACACTAGTATTAAATATAAATGGGGAGGAATTCTTATATGCCATCTGAAAACCATTTATTTTACCTGGTATTTTTATATTCAAAATATTGTAATATTTTGAATAGATTTTTAGGATTTAAAAAAACCCAAATAAATAGCCACAAAATTAAAGACATTTTAAATTGAATAGTTCAGTTATCTTCTTCTGTGATCCAATGAAATATAATTCTATAAATTTAGTATTTTGTAAAAATCATTCTTACTAATCTTGTTAATGCAGACACCATTCTAATTAAATTTACTATTATTTACAAATTCTAATATTGGCCAATTTGATTTATTCTTTACTCAATATTTTCTTTCAAAAATTTTTTTTTTTTTTCCTGGGCTTTGTCTTTTCTAATTGCATGATTCAACATTTTTCTAGTCTGCCTCGATTTAAGTTCACTTAATTTTTTTTTTAATTTTCTTTTTCTTACTTTCTGACCAAGTTTGAAATATAAATGATCCGTTTAATTAATCAGTTCCTTTACTCCTATGTTTCTCAGATTGCAGTCTTATTTGTTCAAGCCTTTCATATGAGGCACTCAGATACCTTTCTCTATTAATTGATCATTTTGCTTCAACTTGGTCTTGAAATAGGTTTCGCCGTCGCAGTCTACTTCATTCTGTTGCTAATCTTTTTCTTCCAGGGATATTTATATTTCGTTGTTACATTAAACATAGAGTTTTTAACATGAAACAATATTGAGCAAAAAGCGGGGGTAATCAATGAATAATAATGATCCACTGAACATCTAAAAAATATAAAAGAAATGGATCAGTTAAACGGTTCCTTGGTTTCTCTTTTAGTTGTGAATTCTTTATTTCTGCTTTGTTGAATCTCAATACATTCTTTCAGGACTTTTATTTCATTGCATCTCACTAGTAAAATTTTCTAACAATTGCAGCCATTTTTGACGACACAGGTACACATGTATACAAATAAAATTAAAAAAGATAAAGAATCTTTACAGCATCTTTAGCCATGGATTCTATATAAGAGTTCATTTTTACTTATTTTGCTCGACCTGTTTTCACAGCGACTAAGTCTGTGCAACAGGAACATTTACCCGGTGGCCCCACTGTACACAGGATGTGACACAAGGTTGCGTTTAATATGGGGAGATGTCGGCTGCGCTGGCCTCAGTGGCGAGAGCTATTCACTCACTGTAGTGTCATGAGAGGGTGACGCCTTGGACAAGCTGTTCCTCGGGATTGTTCCTCGGGATTGTTCCTCGGGATTGTTACTGTCCAAAGTTGTTACAGTTTTTTGTGTATATACTATGTAACTAGTGAGCGAGTCAAAATGACTTAATTCCCTTTATAGTCTACAAATAGAAGGTGGACCAATCAGAAGCCGCACAACACTGTATCCGTCGTGTATAAAGGCGGCCATCTTGTTTTCCCTTCCGGAAGGACCAGAGCCAACTTATCAGGCGAACACGACAGAAGGAAGAACTACACTCTGCTGTGATATCCACTGCGAAGCTAAAGTACGCTTTCCTACTGTCTCCGAAATATTCACTGCCAACCTCTGGATTCTATACTCGAGGACGACCGTCATGAAAATGTCTAACATGTACCTCTGTCTTCTGACGGAGCCGCAGACAGAGACGCAACTGAGAGATAATAAAACATACCCGGCCACTAATAGGTGCATTATCTATCTATCTATCTATCTATCTATCTATCTATCTATCTATCCCATCTTCTCTCTCTTCTTTTTTTTTTCTATCTGTCAGTCTAATTTCATCTTCTATATCTATCTATCTATCTATCATCTATCTATCTATCTTTATAATTCTTTTCTCTATCTATGTAAATCCTTCATTCTGTTCTATCTATCTATCTATCTATCTATCTAATTCTATCATATCTATCTATTCTAATCTATCTTTATCATATCTATCTAAATTTCTTTTCATATCTATGAAATTCTGTTCATATCTATCTATCTATCTATCTATCTATCTATCTATCTATCTAATTCTTTTCATATCTATGAAATTCTGTTCATATCTATCTATCTATCTATCAATCTATCTATCTGTATAATTCTTTTCATATCTATGAAATTCATATTTGAATCTATCTATTATCTATATCTAATTCTAACTATCTATCTATCTATTATCTATCTCCTTCTATCTGTATAATTCTTTTCATTTATCTAATTCTTTTCATATTATTCTGTCTATCTATCTATCTATCTATCTAATTCTATCTATGTAATTCTGTCAATCTATATCTATCTATCAATGATAATTCTTTTCATATCTATGTAAATTCTGTTCATATATCTATCTATCTATCTATCTATCTATCTAATTCTTTTCATATATAATTCTGTTCATATTTATCTATATCAATATCTATCTGTATAATTTTTTCATATCTATATAAATCTGTTCATATAATTATTTCTATTCTTCTATCTATCTATCTTCTATCTATCTTTCTTTTCATCTTTTTAATTTATTCATATAAATCTATTTCATCTATCTATTATCTTGACTATCTATCTAATTCTTTTCATATCTATGTAATTCTGTTCATATCTATCTCACATCTATTCAATTTATATCTGTATAATTCTTTTATCTATAAAATCTGTTCATATTTTAATAAATCTATTTATCTATCTATCTATCTATCTATCTATCTAATAATTCTTTTCATATCTATGTAATTCTGTTCATATTCTATCTTCTATCTATCAAATTATCTATCTGATACCCTTATAAAAATTCTATTCATCTATCTAACTATCTATTATTCAAATTTGTAATGGTAATTGTTTTCATTTATATATAATTCTGAATTTATCTATCTATCTTCTATCTATTTATATCATTCTCCTTGGGTGTATCTATATATTGTATACGGATTACCTAATTCATATTTATTATATATATATATATATATATATATATATATATATATATATATATATATATACTTCTGTTCATATCTAATTCTGCTTTTATGTATCTACCATCTTTATTACATAACCTCAAATGGTAGGATTTAAATATTTGCTCGAATTTACTTTGAGTTATCTATCTTTGATCTATAAATATATATATATATATATATATATATATATATATATATATATATATATATATATATATATATTCTGTTATCTAATCTAATTCTACTTATTTCTATCTCTCTCTATCTATCTATCTATCTATATATATAAAGGGACAAAAGTTCGACAATTATTTAAGACATTTTTTATGTTTGTTTTAATGGGATCTATTATAATGAAGAAATCTATCTTTGTTTTGTATCTATTCCTATTCATCTATTTATCTATCTATCTATCTATCTATCTATCTATCTATCTATCTATCTGTTTAATTCTGTTCATATATATCTATCAATCTATCTGTATAATTCTGCTCATATTTATTTTTATAATTCTGTTCACATCTATCTATCTAAAAATGTAAACGGAACTGTTTAATTAAGCGTTTCATTGGCCTCTGTTTTCGTTGAGAATTCTTTATCTATGCTTTATTAAATCTCAATACATTGTTTCAAGAGTTTTGTTTCATTGCATCGCACTATTCAGCTCCCAATTTGGTATCTATGCAGATGAACCGACGATTTACACCTGTCTGAATATTATGGCTGATCAGTTCCAAAAAGGTCAGTTTGGCAGCTGAGGTCCAACACGACTCTCCGTCTGTTTTTAGCTATGGCAAAGAATGGCTTGCTAATTTGAATGCCTCGAAAACTAAACTGCTCTCTGAGTGACCTCTCTCTGCTTTCTATCAGCATGGCTAATTCTAACCCCAAGTTAGTTTCCTCGCACTTTTTGCTTGTGGGACTCCCTTGCGTTTCCATATTTTCCCAGCCAACTTTAATCTGCAAAAATTTAAATCCAGTAAAGGATGAGACCGAAATGCTATCAGAGACACTGCAAGCGCGGAAGTTTAAATATCCGGGAAGCGTTTTGACAGAGGACGGAAGGTGCAACACTGGGGTCCGTAGACGTATTCGGATAACCGATGGGGTCATTCCAACAACATAAATAATTCTCAACTAAAACAGAGGCCAAATGAAACGCTTAATTAAACAGTTCCGTTTTAAACAGCTGGGCAGAGTATTGGGTTTCTTTGGTCAAAAAGAAAAGAGTACTGAGCTGTTACGTGACATCTGTCCTCCTATACGGCAGTGAATTTTGGAAGATTTCATCAAAGATAAAAAAGAAACTCGAGGCGACAGAGATGTGGTTCTACTAAGGATATCATGGATTTACATTATTCAGACTATTGTCCTCATCTTTGCCACCATATTTATTACAACGTTTCGGCCGTTATACGCTCTGTCTTTCTTCAGGTGGTTGGAATGTCGAACAGAACCCTTTATTTCACTCACTGGGGTAGACTGTTCTAGTTCCATGTGCCATGTTTAATGGATGTCAGTTATCAGTTATCTCCTGTTAATTCCCCTCTCCAAGTTCTCCACTGCCGGGTATTGAACTCACACTCTTTGGGTCCTGTCACTAGATCTAACCAACGCCTTTATTCACTGTGCCATGTGTCCTTGAGGACATCTGTGTATAAATATCTGGGTATTATAAACCTAATGTCATCAGCAATCATTTTTTACCAGTGCTCATACAACGGCCGAAACACTGTAATAAGTACAGACAGGAGCGTAATAAATATGGCATATATATATATATATATATATATATATATATATATATATATATATATATATAAAGTGAAAGGCCGAAACGTTGTAATAAATATGGCGACTAGTCCGAATAATGTAAATAATGTACATAATACCTCATCTCAGAAAGGGCCGAAACGTTGTAATAAATATGGCGACAAAGAGAGGACAATAGTACCTCATCTCAGAAATATAGACAGATACTAAAAAAATAGCGGCATTTTTTTATTTATTTTCAATATGGGGAATAAAAGGTAACTGCTCTGAGGAGCTGCTTTCGCTGGTTCCCAGACTTCATGAATTTAAGCGCTCAACTAGGCTGGCATCTCGCTCTCACCCTTTCACTGTCGAAACTGTTAAATGTAGCCGTCTCTTCAACTCCAATAGCTTCATACCTCGCACTTCTCACCTGTGGAACCCCCTCACCTCTTCCTGTTTCCTTGATAGCTACAATCTCCAACTATTCAAATCTAATGTCAATCGACGTCTCCAGATGCCCTGATCTATCACCTATCCTTCTCTTCATCCTTTTCTATATCACGCCTATTTACTCTCTGTAACCCCTTGCGTGCTAGGGGCTTTTCGCCTTGCTTGGGGATGAAACGCTTAAAAAAAAAAGAAAAAAAACCCTTTGATTTTCTAAGAGTCGCAGACCACGAAATAAGTTGCTGTAAATATTTTCTCTGTAAAGAATTATAAGGAGCCGAAATGAACTCGGTATGTTTATCATATAAATGTAAATATATACTATATACTTTAAGCCAGTACCTGTGAGATAATCCCAATTTTATTGTTCAAAACCTTGCCTTGCATAATCAGATCGGCCATTTTGTTACTGTCCCGCACACCTCCGCATGCTCTTAGGCACAAAGCCGGGCAAATACGGCCAGATAGGTGGACGAAGGTCGCCATAGCGACAGTAACAAGTTTCTAGCATCTCCTGTTAAACCGAACATTAATCTCTGACGTTTGGATAATGAAGTCGGCTTATCGACGTCGGCCTGATTCAATGCGATCGTAAATTATGATCAGTATGGATGGGGCAAGCAAAAAAAAAAATTTTAGAAAAGATGGAGGAACAGATTTAAAACACACGCAATCAATGCACACACACGCGTATACAGACAATTATATATACTAAAAAAACCCGGTGGAAATTTCGCGGTTCTTCTATTTTAAATTTCTGATGGATCTTAATTCTTCAGTTAATGATTTAATAGGCTCATGGCGAGTTCTACAACAATAATATTGTCAGGTTACTAGGGTTTTGTAATGTCAACGAACACTCGTTGCCACTTTTGTAATGTCAACGAATACTCGTTGTCACTTTTGAAATGCTCGTTGTAGTAGAGACTTTGTAATCGCAGATACAACTATAGTACTTTGCATGTTAAATGATAAAACTTTCAATTTTTCTAAAATGAGAAGGGTACTGACCATTTAAATATCCCATACAGCATCCCAAACGAGTCGACCATTAGAAGACAACGATCTTGCTTTCCCTCCCGAGGCCAACGTAATGATGATGAAGAGACTATGCTGATGACATTCATTTAGCAATAAGGCGAAATAAATTTTGGATCCTAAAATAATACTTAAAATAATTGTCTCTTTTTTCCAGATGATCAATAAATTTTAATTAAACTATATAAAGAAAACTTTTATTAAATCAATTACAACTTTTAAATTTTTTTAATCAAGCTAGAACAAAAATATTAATTAAAAATAAGATGTGAAAAAGTAAATGAACGCTTACATTTAATGTAATCAATGGAAATGACGCTGAATAAAATATGTGACTTCAGAAGTGGGGGGGGGAATACTTCAATAGGGATTAAATGACGAATTTTTGCAGTTTTCATTTCATGTATGATTGAGCAAAGTGCAGTTTTGTATATATATGTTTGAATAGTAGTATAAAAATTATTCCGAGCTTCATTAAAATGGAACGTATTTTGGAATCTCACTGTGAGAAGGCACTTTTATATAAAACATCTGGCACCCAGCATAAATCTCACCTTATTCAGCAGCAGAAACAGCGTACGACAAGGATGAAATCTGATCTCCAGTCTACTTAATCGCTTCCTAGACATTGCTCGGCGCATTTACAAACACAGATGTGATGAGATGGGTACTGACCATTTAAATATCCCATACCGCATCCCAAACGAGTCGACCAATAGAAGACAACGATCCTGCTTTCCCTCCCGAGGCCAATATACTGATGATAAAGGAGGTTATGCTGATGACATAGGTATTCATAAAGCGGGATAAGAAAATCAACATCCTCTACCAAGTGTTCCAAGAAACAGACCTCAACCTTTCTAAAACAGAAACTATGATCTGAAACTGGAATGAAAGCAGTCATGGCACCTACTCTGATTGATTGATTTGTTTTTTATGGCTTATCGACCCTTTGCAGATTATTTAAAGCGAGAAAAAGTTTTTAGATTTTAAGAAGTTTTTGGAGATAATAATGATTTGCTGATACAAGTCCTACTAATTAACCCATAGAAGACAACGATCCTGCTTTCCCTCCCGAAGCCAATGTACTGATGATGAAGAGACTATAAATAATTGTCTCTTCTATTCCAGATGATCAACAAATCTTAATTAAAATATATATGGTGTCGGGGAGTTTTAGTGGAAGAGAGGGCTGAAGATTTGGTTCAGGTCAAGGGAATCATGAAAAAAGAACATTATTATTCGATTTTGCAAAAACATTTTTGTTATGGTCCAGGTTAGGACCAAGGAAGAACAACACGAACACAAGAGTAGAAATAACGAAGGTATATTACACGAAATAATAATACAAGAGGTGGAAGGCGTTAGTATGACTGTCAGTCTGGTTTGGAGTGAATTACTATCGACTCGACTCGATTCGATATTTATTTGCCCCCCCCGACGAGGGAAAGATGTGGCACAAGGCCGAGTTTAACGTGGGTTTCCCGATCCCGTAGGCTCGGCCAAAAAATGCCCGTAGAACCAGTATAAACGGGATCGGGTTGGTCAACCTCCCCGAACGAGACTCTGCTCTTCGGCGGAGCGTCGTCCGGGTTCCTCTCTGATCAGAGGCAGAGAGTTCGACCGTCAAACCGAGAAGGTTGGCTTGATTCGGTATCTAGCCCCCCCCCCACGAGGGTTGCATGTGGCACAAGGCCGAGTTTAACGTGGGTTTCCCGAGACCGTAGGCTCGGCCAAAAAATGTCAGTAGAACCCGTATAAACGGGATCGGGTTGGTCAACCTCCCCGAACGGGACTCTGCCATTCGGCGGAGCCTCGTCCGGGTTCCTTTCTGCTCAGAGGCAGAAAGTTCGACCGTCAAGCCGAGAAGCTCGGCTTGATTCAGTATCTAGCCACCCCCCCCACGAGGGTTGCATGCGACACAAGGTCATTTTTATCGTGGGTTTCCTGAGCCCGTAGGCTCAGCCAAAAATATGCCCGTATGACTCGTAAAAACGAGATCAGGGTAGGTCATTCACCCCGAACGAGATTCTGCCCTTCGGCGGAACCTCGTCCGGGTTCCTTTCTGCTCAAAAGCAGAGAGTTCGACCGTCAAGTCGAAAAGATCGGCTTGATTCGTCTCTCTCTCTTGAGAGGCGTAGTATACATAGTGTTAGGAAGAGTTCACTCTGTAGTTATAGGTAAGGACCCATGGCAATTTTATACCATCTTCTATACGCATAACTGGGAAAAAAGGCCTATCAACAAAACAATGATTCAAAAACTTTTCTAAATTATTTGATGTCAAAGAGCATTCGTTTGG